CTCCTGACCTGAGCCCGCGCCTCCCTTGACCTCGTTCCGTGGGAGGGGAAAGAGGGAGGAGGAAGAGGAGGAGGAGGCCAGGGCGCGTCTGGTGAGTGTTACATGCCACGACGACCATAACATTGTAGGGGTGAGAGGAGGTGAGGGGTGAGAGTGAGAGGGGAGGAGGAGACGGGTGTGACAGAGGTTGTGGATGAAGGTGGGGTAAGAGTTGGGGATGGAGGAGGGTAGGGGAGGGATAATTGGAGTATGATAATAAGGGGAAATTAGGAAGGGTAATGGAGAGGAGGGGAAGGAGAAAGGATGATATGAGTATTATGAGGGGATGGTACTATGGAAGGGAACGAGTGGGAAGCGTGAGTAGAAAGTGGGAAGGGGAGAACGGTATAACAAAGCTTGTGACTTAATCCAGCAACACTTACACTGATACGACCCAACACTTACACTGACACGGCCCAACACTTACACTGACACGGCCCAACACTTACACTGACACGGCCCAACACTTACACTGACACGGTCTAGCACTCACACTCACACCCATCACTTAACTCGACACAATCCAGTGCCTAAACTAACAAGACACACCACTTAACGCCACTCGCCAGTTGCCACGAACAATTACTGTACACTCACTGACAATAACTGATATTCCCTGATCTCCCTGACACTTCTCTGACACTCCCTAATACTACCCGACATGCCCTGACATTCCCTAACACACCCATACTCATAACACTCACTAACACGAAAGAGCTCTTCCTGGGTCAACACATAATAGACTGTCACTAGGGGGGGGGTTGGGGAGGAGAGGGGGTGGACTCGTCGTAACTCTGTGCACGACTCGATGACGGGATGGAAAGGTCAAACTACTCCTTCATCACCACAGTCGGTCAAAAGATGCTCTCTCTCTCTCTCTCTCTCTCTCTCTCTCTCTCTCTCTCTGTGCACTGGGAATGGTAGAAGAAAGCTGCAAGTGTGATGGTGAACTTGTATAATGATTTTGCTAAATATCTATCTATATATCTAAATGCCTGTCTATCTGTCTGTCTATCGCCCGCTGTGGGTACAAGCTGAATCCCGACAAAGCATAATCTTTAAATAGCAATAGGGTTGTTTTATTTGTTCTACAGTTCGATCCCCCTGGCAGGGTGAAACTATGGGCAAGTTTCTTTACGCCATTTGCCTCTGTCGACCCAGCAGTAATTGGGGACCTGGATGTTAATCGATTTGCGGATCGTGTTGCGGGATAATGGTTAGCCAGTACAGTTGGCGAGTTGTCCGGTCTTCTTGAAATTTTCCTTGACACTGGGTCATGAAGCTCATTAACTAAGGGTGTGGTTGTTTTGTTGACGATATCATCTACACCTTGAACAATTACACGCCTAAAGGGCCAGTCATCACGAACACGAGGGGCAACCATTATTATTATTATTATTATTATTATTATTATTATCATACCGTCCAGCACTCCAAAACACCCCCTAACATTCTCTAATACTCCCCGATACTTAGTGACTCCTAACACAACGTAACACCTCTTAACCCTCACTTACAGTACAGTACCTTGGATAATAATAATAAATAAAACAACACGAGGGCTATTAACCCAAACAAGGCAGTTCCTATTTACACCCAACCAAAACCACTCATTATTTACAGTCGTATAGGTCAAAACACTGCCTTGTCAAGTGTAGTACCCTAACTGGTGTCTATAACTCTAAGCAAATCATAATTATATCAAGTTACAGTTATGCAATAGTTTTTTAATTTTCGCCGCGACGCTCAAGAAGATACGAGTTCACAAAACACCAATTTTTGACCTGTGATGCTCAGGTTTACAATACAGTGTTTTAAGTTCTCAAAGGAGTTCAAAAGAGGGAGGGGGGTATTTGCTTCGAATTTTAGGTAAGACATCACTGACACTGAAGTTATAGGTAGACATATTATCAAGAGTATTGTGTTCCTCTCGGCAGATAATACATCACCAAAATAAAATGTGTAAGAATTCAAGGGCTGACACACGTATACGGTATACAAAAGTGTAGTCCTCCAGGTTGTGAAAAATGTTTATGGGTTGAGTTGGAGAGAGCAATTTGTCGAAGTTGTCCCTACAGTGTCAACAACAGGTGGAGGGGGGGGGGGCGGGGTGAGTATCACGTGACCACCACAATGAGTGCTGGGCGCCGGCCACCAGTCTCGTGGTCAGCACTTACTCTTCTGCCCACCACACAACCATAAGCTATAAGTCTCTCTTTGTTTTGTTCCGTTTGTTCAATAACTGAAGAGCTTTTCATGTGACCGTAAAAACAACGTTTACACGAAAAATACTGTTTTTTACTAGATGTCTCCTGTGTAAAATAACAAAATTTAATATTTTAGTGATAGTTATTCTTATTTCTATTATTACTACTACTGAGACTACTTCTATTTTTATCATTACAACTATTGTCATCACATTATTACTATTACTATTACTGTTACTCTTATTAATGTATTATTATTATTATTATTATTATTATTATTATTATTATTATTATATTATTACTTATATTACTACAACCTTCAATGAGCTTTATATGCCATGTTCATCATACACTTCGCACCTGCATAAGAGCCGAAGAAGCCTTTTTTTTCCTTAATGACAGAAAAAAAATCAAACACAACTTAAAGTATCCCTAATTCTTAAATCTTGGATATCAAAATAAATAAACAATTATCAAAACATGTACAGTAGCTACATTACTATATCTAAATGAGCTTGATTAAGAAAAAAAGGTGATTTCACAATACATACACATCATTGTATCGTGTTGAGTGGAAGTATTCCTGATGAGTGGTGCTGGGCTGTGTGAAGCAACAGGGATAAACCAGACGATTATTTGGGGCATAGGTGTGGAAGAGGAATAATAAGCAGAAGACGTCTATTACAGCAGTAAGATTGACTGAACAAGAGCAAATAAAGAGAGGGAGAACTGGGTGGGTGGTGTGTGTGTGTGTGTGTGTGTGTGTGTGTGTGTGTGTGTGTGTGTGTGTGTCATAGAGAAAAGAAAGAGTCTTGAGAAGGCGGAAGCAGTTTTTGTACAAGTTACCACGTTTCTAAGATGGACAGAAAGACTATGTGGCTGGCGGGCAAAATGGTGTGTTCACTGCTAGTCAGCATCACTTAAATAATTTACCCGATATTAAAAAAAAATAAAAAAATAAAATGTTGCGTGCATATCCAATTGTGTCGAAAATGTATGTCAATTAATAACAAAAAAATATAAAGCCTGAGAGTGACAACAGGTGCTTAACAGATAATATGATAATTGTCCGTTGCATGTTTACCTGCAGCGTCAACAATAGATTATTAGCATTACACAATAAAGATTTGTTAGTTTAGTTTAATTTGATCAGATAGTGTACTGTACCGTGTGTCGTGCAGCTAATGTTGATTGAGTGATTTTCGTAATGTTAATCTGGCTGGGCTCAGTGCTGGCGTGCCTCAGAGGGTCAAGTGGTGGTGGTGGTGGACGCTGCTGTGGGGTGCCATGGTTATTTATCTAATTCTAGGACAGACGAGGTGTGGTTACCGTGGCCCTGAGGACGGTCATCCACACACTCCACCACCCACAGCGGCGTATCATCAAAAGTTTATTTGTGTTGGTTAGCGGCAAAACCACAACTCTCCCTAAAATATGTTTTTTTTTGTCAATCCCTTTTAAGCTGCCTCCCATGTCGAGAAGAAGCGTGTTGTGTTTACTGTTTCTTTTTTCTTTTTATATTATTGCTATCAATTACAATCGCATTTTGAAACTTAGTGGGCAGGTACCTGAATCAAATACTTCCACACGACTTCTTTTCCCGTTGGCCAAATTATTGTTGACAATTGAAGTTCAAACTCCATAGAAGCTCGTGTTGCTAGGGCCAAAGTTCCCTCATTTTTCTAACAATTTTTATGAAGGTTGGCACAAGGAAAACCCCCAAGAAGATTGACAAATTTATGGAATTTTAGTTATCTTATTGATTTTACATTATTAAACGTTTAGATAAGTCGTCTCCTTCATAACTTGACTCCACACACCTCACAGCCCTTAAAGACGGACCCAGACACACCTGGATTATCTAGCATTTCAGAAAGGGAAGTGAATAAAGGGAAACATGCTACATTTACGGGTGTTTCTCGAAGACTCGAGTAATACAGGTTTATGTGTTGTATATTATTCACGTGGATAAATGGTAATATGGTAGCAAAGGAAACATACACATTCAGTGGTAACTTAATTCCTTACGACCCGTTACGAAGAACCATTCCTTTGATAAAGTCCTTCTTGACGAAACGTTAAGAGCAGCGTTATATGTGTGTGTGTGTGTGTGTGTGTGTGTGTGTGTGTGTGTGTGTGTGTGTTTGTTTCATTGTTAATGGCATTTATTACACCCACTCTGTATGTCTATAATAATAATAATAATAATAATTAGTAGGAGTATATTGGAATCTTTCCTGTGATTCTTGAACATATAAACCAAATCTCAGTGAAGGTTTGTACAAAGATGTGACGCAACAGCCACCATCTTGAGGTACAGAAACCTTTCGGAATAAATTATTTTTGTATTTAAATAATATTCCTAATCTGGACCAAAAATAAGATAATCAAGGCGACGCATTGCATTCTGTGGCTTCTTTATACCTTTTAGTGTCCATGACTGTGTACATAATGCTCTGAAGGTCAATGAATTACGTGATAATTTGTGTTTTATGTTGTTAAGGAGGCGCGGAGGTGTTAAGCAAGGTTAAATTGTTATTGTCTTACTTGTGACATTTATATAATATTCTTTATTATTATTTATGGTTTATCAGTCTGCATCTGCCACACGTTTATTATGATACTGTTATTGTTACACTGAAAGAAATCAATGTTATGGTCACTGTATTCCAATGTTTTACTCTCCCCTTCATGATTATTGTACTGGGACTATTATCATTGTAAATTGCTCAATTCTTCTTCTTCTCTCAGCAGGTATGAGAGGCATGACTCAACAACAACAGCCGCAGCAGCATCCCCAACAGCAGCTACAACAGCAACAACATCAACAAGCACAGCAACAGATGACGTCATCGGTGGTGGCACCAACATACGACAAGCGACTCTGGACTCCGCCCTCATCCATGTCGGGGGGCGGAGCTCTTACGCCCACTCAATCTGCTATAGGTAGCAGCCTCTGCCCGTCGCCCACTCACCTTCTCCCTCACCACCAAGCCACACCCACACCTACCCCAGCTCCGCCCAACTATTACGACTCGATCAAGTATTCAATGTAACCGATTGCGACCGAGGGATGTGAAGATGACTTCCTTCATATAATTTATCTTCACGATTTCCTTTTTAATATATATATTTTTTTCTATAAGTTTGTTGACGTGTAAGGAGTCAGTGTAAATAAACCTAACTGCTTATTAACGTTAAGGTTGGTGTGTGTAATTCGGGTTAGCCCAAACTATGAAAGATAATTTCTCTAATATCTTTTACATTTATGATTTTTTTCCATATACAAATTATTTAAAAACAAAACTTTCCGCCGGGAACTTGTGCAATTACTACATTACACAATAGACGTTTCAAATAGATTCCCTTATAGAATTAAAACAAATATATTCTGGCTCCAAAAAATATGCTTATGGCAAATCTTGTATTTTTTTCTTTTTTTAGACAACGATAAAAGATATGTGGACTCGTACTAGCTATGAATTTCAGTATGATAATTGTATTCCTCGACTTTGACCTGTACTGTATTTGTTGTATTCTTGTACTGACCTTCATAGCCTTATATAGTGATCAGTTAATGGAATCCCGAGATCAGATGATGGACTCACAGTATTAGCTGATGGACTCACAGTACCAGTTGATGGACTCGTAGTATCAGCTGACAGAGTTCTGGCCTCAATAAACGCAAAACGACGCAGCTAGTAGCCCAAAGAACAAGCCAAGTGATGTTAAGACTCCCGTTAGTTCCTTCTCTCAGAAATCCATTTTTTTTTATTAGAAATCGGTATCATTGTTGTTATTTTCTGACAGCAGTTGTTCATGGATAACTTGTCATAATACTAGTATAATTCCTCCAGCTATCTATCTCTCTCTCTCTCTCTCTCTCTCTCTCTCTCTCTCTCTCCACTAAATTCAGATCACATTAACATTTTTGTTTATATTTTGAAAGATTATTCAAATCTATTAATGAACTTGAGATTGACGTGACGTGATCAGGATTAGTCTCGTACCTATTATGATATTTCTAGTGAATCTTGAAATATTCCTATAGTGCTTCTTAAAATATCCTTCAGGAATTTTGGAATTTTTTTAGAGGAATTTCTCGTAATCTTGGAACATTCCTAGATAATTCTCGTAAATTTGGGAATATTTCTTAAGGCATTACTTATGAATTCTTGAGTATTTCTAGAGACATTTATCGTAAATCTTGAATTTTGTCAGGTATCTAATTTAATACTTATGGAATATTTGCCATGAGTCTTAGGATACTATTCGTGAATCATAGAAGATTCCTAAGAGATATTATTCGTGAATATTGAAATATTTCTCGAGTTGCTGATCATAAATCTTAGAACTCTCAAGTAAATCATTCAAAGCAAGAAATCCTGTATTATATAACAATTAATCATTCATGCCGTGTGAGTTTGGATGATTCTCAAAGGTTCCTGGTATACAAATACTCAAAGTACTGAAACAGTATATAGTGAAAAGTACAAAAAAATGTATCTTTCAATTGTATTTAGTTCATGTTAGCCTGTTATAGCCTGCATGCATAGTTACTTTCTCTTACAAGAGGTTGATAATTCTCGGAGGAATTCTCAAAGGTAACTTTGCGTACAAATTCCCTAACAACATGAAAACCAAGGTTTAAAGAAAAATTTACGAAAGTTATAGAAAAAATATCCATTGACAAGTACGTGGCGTATTTTGTCTAAATACAGAAAAATACACCATTGAAAAGTCTCAAAGTATTTTGGTATAGAAATGTTTTAGAGAGGAATTATGAGAGCCATAGAGAGCGAGAGAGAGTATCCAGTGAGATGTATACAATGTATCCATTATCTTAAGAGTTTTAAAGTATATAAAAGGTATTGAGTGGAAAGTATAAGAAAGTCTACCTACATTTTAAGTATTAAAATATAGGAAACTACGAAAGAAAACTATGATAGGTAAAATAAATTTATAAAATTAAAAGTATTAAAACTGTTAATCTTCAATTTTAGTTTCAAAATGTAGAAAAAGTATGGATAAATATAGAAAAAGTAATAAGTAAAAATTACAGCAAAATCTATTTACGTGTTTAAACCCAAAGTATAAAAATAAAGTATCCAATGTAAAATAATAACAATACTTATTTACTTTTTTATTCGCAAATACTTTGGAGGAAGTTCATCTCTCTTCCATTTGTTGTTGTTTGTTTGTTTGTTTGTTTGTTTGTTGCTGTTGTTGTTGTTGTTGTTGGGTCACTCAGTAAGATGGAGTGACTGGGATACTTGATCGCGTTAACCTCTAATTTCATGACAGATTTAAACGTCTAAATCTAATTATCTGAAGGATTTATATGTCTAAATCTATATACCTGACAGATGTATGCGTCTGAACCAATCCTATGAAGAACTGATACGTCTAAATCAAATTCTATTGTGCCTTTATGCGTCTAAATCCATTCTTAGGTGGTTTTGTGCTCCTAAATCAACTTGTAACGGATTTATACGTCTAAATCTAATTCACTGACAGATTAATGCATCTAAATCTGATTTCATGAAGGATTTCTGCAAATAGATTTCATTTCTAAAAGTTAAAAGTCTAAATCTTAATCTCTGTGACAGTGTCGGCGGAGCTGGGGTAGGCCTACTTCAGGCATGACTTTTTTATGACTCAAATTCGAGATTTATTTAATTAATATTTTGTAAGAAAAGGTAAAAAAAAAAGTTTTATATTTAAAAAAAAAATCTAAGGTTAGTTCACCCATAGCTAGAGGAAGTGAGTTTTGTGGTTCGAAACTAAAGAAAACACATGACAAAAGTTTCTGTATTTTTCTTTCGTGCATGAACGCCGAAATTCTATGAAAAGAAATGTAGGCCTATATAAAAATATAACATATTTTATTAGAGGAAGCACGGCCGATTTGTTTTTTTATTCTATTTGGTGCAAAGTGTTCAAATCCTGGGACATGGCATGGGGTAACAGACCTTATCAATGTGGTAAATAAGGTTCCTTTTGTCTTGCCAGGTTTTTTTTATATAGAATTTGTAAGAAAGACAGAAGTATAAGGTTACTCGATGGTACAGTCCCAACTCGTTGATGCACGACTGGCTGCAACTAAGTCAAATAAATCATCCAGCAGCAGCTTGCCGCTCATTGGAGTAAGCCAATCAGCGAGCTTGCCGCTATTTGTTATCAACCAATCTACGAGTTTACCGCTCGTTATAATATATAGACCAATCAGCGATCATGCCTCTCTTTGGAATCTACCAAACAATGAGCGTGTCACTCTTCGGAATCAACCAATCAGCGAGCTTACAGCTCTTTACAGTCAACCAATCAGCAGGTTTTGCCGTTAATATGAACCATGCAGCCAGTTAGCTCTCGCCAACGAGGTCGGGTTGTACGACTTGTATAGCTGTTAAGTTATTATTTTTCTGTAATAATTTCTTGTTGGTTCTCAAGTCATCACTCACAGAACAAGAGGTTGTAGCCACTCTGTTATATAGAGTATTTTCTTCTGTGGTCACAAGCGCCATGGTTATACCTTTGTTTTAACATTTTTGGGGCCTAACAAACAAACAGATATACAAATGCAGGCTATTACCTTTTGTTGGCTCGTTATTATCATTGCTATATTATAGTAGCTTAATATTATTGTGCTGCTCTCTCTCTCTCTCTCTCTCTCTCTCTCTCTCTCTCTCTCTCTCTCCTCCCATTATACCAGTAATAACTTGGGTTTGTGAAGGCCTGACAATTTCTCGTTCATGTTAAAACGATGAAGAATAAAACAGTGAATAATCCCAAAAAAAACTCTTATTTCTCTCCCTTCATAAGAAAAAAATATATTTAAGGAAAAAATTAACAAAAATGTTCTTAAAAAACACTGAAAGCTAAAAAAAAAGTAATACCTTCATGAAAATAAAAAGTGTGAAAACTAAAACAAAAAACTATTGAAATTAAAAGAAATATAAAAATCTTAAAGATAGACAGAAACAAAACCCCCAAAATGTCTTAGTTAAACAATAAAACAAAACAAAAAGTATAAAAATAATACAATAATTATCTCGAAGAAGGTGAATAACAAATGGCTGACCAAAATAAGACATGATGAATAAGAGAAGAGAAGCAGGAGCAATAAAGAGGTGGAAAGAAGAACAAGCATAATAAAGAAGTGTTAAACAAAATAGAAACAAGGAAGAGGTGCCATAAGGACAGAAGCAATAAAGTGGTGTTAAGAAAAATAAGAAAAGCAGAGTTGATCAGTACTATCCTGATTAAACAAAAGGCGTAAATAAATGAGACGTGAGAGAAAATGGTGAATTAGGGATAGTGTGAGAATAAAGGAATAAGCAAACAAGATAAAATAAAATGCTAAGGGAGGGAGAGATAACACACCTATGTGTAGTGTGGTGGAAAATAAATTTGAGGATAAGAGCATCTGAGAGAGAGAGAGAGAGAGAGAGAGAGAGAGAGAGAGAGAGAGAGAGAGAGAGAGAGAGAGATGTGGAAGCAATAGGCAGGTCAACCCACGTGTATAGTGTATAAGGTGGAGGTGTGGATGGAGAGAGGTGGATAAACAACGATGGAGTAAAATCCACTTGGAGCGTGCATGGATAAGACGAGCCTGAGATGGATACGATGGAGTGTAGCTGAAATTAGCGATAAATAACATATTCCACGATACCCAATTACTTAATGATTCAATTCAGTAAGGAGAGGATTTATCAATGCTCTCAAGGTTTGTGTTTACATGATACAGAGAGAGACAGACAGACACATAGACTTACAGATTAAACCTACTCAGGCACTCACTCACCCACCCACACACACACACACACACACACCCACACACACACAAATCATTACCCACGGACAAACACACACTGACACATCCACCTACAGACAGACAAACACACCCACATACAGAAACATCCATCCAGAGATAAACACATCTACAAACAAACACACCTATCCACACACAAGCAGACAAACACATCCATCCACCAACAGACGGATAAACCCTCACAAAAAACATACCCACCCACCTACAGAACGACAAACTCCCCCCCCCACACACACACACTTGTTAAACCAATATGATTCATTTGATAGCGACATTTTCGGAGAGACTTCTTCCATTAAAAGCCAACCTAAAGCAAATGAATCTGAGAGCAGGACTCGTACAAACACAGTAGATAATTAAAATGAAGAACAAATAAAAGTGAGCATGAATCAACGTCACTAGAACCAAATCTGCTAAAAAACAACACTAGTCCTTATTGTCCACAAGATTCCAGAGACACAACATCACACTTCAAGGTCACAAGAAGTTGAATGTAATGTGATATATGTTGGCAAAACAAAATGTTAACTTATAGCCCGCCGTAAACCATAGACCTCGCATTCAAAATGGTCACGTTTTACATATAGTGCATCCAAAAATTTCCAATGTTTTAAGATAATTTTTTTCCTTCAGGACACTCTGAGGAACAAAATGGTACCAAAGCAGTAGATTAGTGGAGGGGAGGAGGGGGGGTGGGTGAATGGTTACCCTACCTAGCCCACGGCCTATATTGTCTATATTCATGTTGATCTGTACAACTTCTTAGTTTATATACATGCCTATCCAATTGTAAGCCTGCATGAAAATATTACGGATTCTTAATATTATTATTATTATTACAAAGTTAGGGGAGCAGCCGTCAAGCTTTGTATATTTTACGTAGTTAACCCTAGAGGTCTTTGGTGATTTTACGTAATTAATCACAGTGGATTTTCGTGGGATAATGGTATACTATGTAATGACTGTTGTAACACTACCATGCAGCAACGACACGAACTGAGGGAACAAACAGCACAACGTCTATAGAAAAGCAAAACTTCTTCGATCATGTGTTGGCCACGACTTATCTCACTTAAGATCAAATTTGATTCATCAGTAAAGACCTAGTACTTGGTGTTACAGGCCGCCAACCATAGGAAGTGTATTGTTATTCTCATTTTCTTGTTTACTCTTTTTATCTATGGGAATCATAACGAATCAACGAATATAGTAGCGAAATTAACACTAAAGGGAAATTTCAGTTTAATATTCATGTCACATATTGCCTGCAATGTGTTGGTAATTTAAATTATTTTGCAATTGATCGGTATGTAGGATCTGGCTTTCCGTACAAATACATTACACTGACTCCTTTCTCTAGAGTGTTCATTTATTTTCTGCCATCTTCGTTGGTTTGTCTTTGATTCCTTCACCTGAAAAAGAGAGTAAATTAATTTTCATGTGATACCCTGTACAATTAAATCACGAGGATTCCAACTTGAAGAAGTCCACCTGACTAATTGATCAGTGACAGAGTTGGCCGGCCCACTATACGTACACTTAATCCTTGTTGCTTATCTCTAAAATTTATGAGATTTTCAAGATCAGACAATACCGTACCATTCTGCCCGTTAGTTGGGTAAAATATTTCTAGGAATTAATGAATTATCACAGCATTTTGTTTTTTAAATCTATATCAATTAAAGGTCTTCGATTTTAAACTTTTATCCCAAAAAGATATGATATTATGGTGATTAGTTTTGATGAGAGAGAGAGATGTATCGCTTTACTTACAAACACGCCCGTGGAGCCATAGAACTATACTGATCCAAAATTAAATGCTTCAACTGTACCACCACCACAGTATTATTCCTGCACCGCCCCATCACGATCCCTCTGGCAGCCTCCCCACCCCTATAGTGTCCCCCACCAGGCAGAGATCACCTTGTTGACACACGGTTCACATATTTCCTCCTCTTGCTCCAGGTGACTCCCCCGAAAAACTCTGGAACCAACTGATAGAAAATTTACAGCGCAGATTGCCACCATTTGAAGCGCACCAGATGCTTCCTTTGAGCATTATAATCCTGAAAAAATAATTGCCAACGAGTGATAGTGGGCTTTAGAGTCATGCTGCGTATGGTCCATTTTCAGCTGCCCTACAGCCAGCTTACGCCCGCCCGTCTCGATGGGGATACTCGAGTATTTCTGGAAATAGGTGAGAAGATATTTTTACGAAGGGCTTTAACTGGGCATGAGTTGCAAGGTGTATTAACCCTTGAGGAGCGTCAGGCTAAGGATGAAATTTGCGTGATATGAAAAGGAGACGTTGATCATGTACGGGGTAGAATATACCTTCTCTTCCAATCCCAAATTTTACTTAAAAGATAATTTCCAGCATATATTAATTTGCATAATAATTAATGCTATTATAAACGATGGCGAGTCACTCCAGTTAATAACTAATACCTTTAGTCATAAATTACATAATTAGTGCTAAAGGTTATTCCAAATTCTTGATCATCCACAAGATAAAGCATATTGTAAGTTACCCAAACCAAGCATTTAATAACTTAATGAAATGCAGAACAAAATACAAAACTCTGTAACCTAATATTTTACAGATGGACGTTAAATACTTAAAGTACGGCAGTGAGAAAATCATCGCTAAAACCACAAACTATGGTTGAGACACCATGGGTTGCGAGTTTTTCGAGGGTGCCATAAAAACCGTTCTCGTCCTTGGCACGCCCAGGCGGGGCTGTTGGCCTCCCGTCCGCGGCTCTGGCTATTGTAACGACGAACGTAAACAAACAGACTCGTGGCACGCCCGCCCTCAGGTAGCTCTTCCTTCCTGCCTGGCTCTCAGACTTCTCCCCCTCTCCCTTCCTACTTCATTCATACTTAACATGCCAAATGTTTACTCGCATAATGTGGTATTCTCGTAACATTTTACTGGACCAGCAAATGATTCTGCAACTCTAATAACTCATACATCATTTGCCTTGAGGTCCTGTCTGTTGTTTAATATTCTGGTGATCAAGTACAGTAAGCAGCCGCTTCCTTTACAGACTGGTTACCTCAGGAGTCATTGGCTTAGTTTAAATTTTTTTTACAGCTATGTTAAGTGATGAAAATAAGCAGAAAACTGTAAATGAGATATTAATGAAGAAGATATAACATATTATGGTAGAAATACAGAGATGGTGACTAATGAGTTTGTTAACTCATTAGAAGATGGAAGAAAAAAATGTGGTAGCTAACAAAAGACATGTGTAGGATACTTAATGTCATTTGATAGTAATTATAACGTATAGTTTCTTGGATATTAACATTTATCTATTTTAAATTATGAAGTATCATTCATAACTATTCATCACATTTATAAACGTGCCAATAAAAAACTAATCACTGGCTCAATAAAAACAAAACTATAATCAAATAAAGTTCCGCAGAAATGTTGGCTAAATTTTCGTACCTAAAGACTGGTTTCACACTGAACAGACAAGACAAGACAAAACAAAACTATTCGGACAAATTAAAACGTCAGGTCTTGACTGGCTTTTAGTGCCACATTGAACAAACAGTCAGTTGTCCAGCGACGAAGTAAGTGCAGTGGCACCAGGGTGTTATGTGGAGTCGAGGAAGGAAGAGATGATGTTGATTCATCATCTCAGTAGAAAAAAAAAACACCAGAAGATTTAATTACAGGTCATATTTTAAGAGTTCTGCCAGGATGAGGAGAAATTTAGACTCTTGATTGTTTGCTGCAACTTATAGTGGAGAGAATGATAAAATTTGGCACAAACTGTAGAAGCATAAGAAAGACATCCAGTGACTTTGAGGTGAGTAAACCGCTTTCTCATAGTAATTTAAGTGTGATTGTGAATGATCACCAGCATCTTTTTTTATTTTTTTTTAAGAAATTGAATTATGGTAAAAGAAAAGAAAAAGCAACTCAAGCTAATTATTCAA